AAAAAAAAAAAATTAGCATATCAAGAAATCATGATTTGTTTCCGTTGTTGTATGGAACAGAACTGTTAAAATTATTTTTTCATAGAAAATTCTGCTTAGTTTGAAAAACCTTGTTTATGTGTGTGTACAACATGATTTACTTATTTGCGTATTTTTGTGTTTGTTACATAATTTTCTCTTCTCTTTTTCTTTTTTCATTTGTGTGTTGGGGGCATGGGGGCGAGCAGTTCTTCAGGGAGTTACCAACTTTTTCGTGACAGTTTTTGGGTAAAAGTGCTGACTTGGCATTTGAAGGTTGTAGTTGGTTTTTCTGACCTATAACTTGTTTGATGTGCTTGTGCAGTGGTGCCTTGTTTTTATATATACACTCAAGAAGAGCCATCCTCAAAGAATCTTACTTCTTTATGTTCAAAATACTCATCACTTTCCATTGCAAAAGAAGGAAATAATGACAAGGATCATGTACAAGATGAAACTTGGGCAGAGGAAGCATATGAATATGATAAAGCTTTGACTGCTGACAGGACATACCTTAAGTTCAAGAAACGGTTGGATGCATATCCAGAACAATGTTTCAGGTACTGAATCAATGGAACTTAGAATTTTGTGGTAGATGGAACTAGAATGTAAGTAAGGAATTACAATTGCAGTAGGAACTTGTTATCATTACTAGTTAAAAATTGTAGAGATTCCTATTATGCATTTGGTGGTCAATAATATCAATTGTGAGGTCCAGTATGATTCACGTGGGTTAATTTGCAGATCAACACACATGTCCTATTTATTATTTATTTATTTTTATTCCGGGGGAAGGGCCAAATTAGGACAACATCGTGTGTGGTTAGATCCCAAAAGTATGGTTCATATCTTAGGTCCAGTTTGTGACACTTACACCTCTTGTGGTTTGCCAAAGTTAACTTAAGACATGCAATTAAGTTAACTGCATATATAGGACGACTATTTTACCGTAATATTTTCAGATTGCCCTCTCTCTGATTAGGACCTTAAGGATGAACTGTATTTTAGGATCTAAGCATATGAGGTGTCTTTTCTTTTGGAGCTAACCAGTGAGGAATTTCTTATTGACTACCCTTTAGTTTACCCAAATGCTATTTTGTGTCAATTTCCATGTGATAAAACTTGATTTTCACTTGTTACTTGCAGCTGCAGGTGATTATAACTTTTTTTGTTTTGTTTTGAAAAGATAATACTTTTTCAGCTTATATTTGATCTTAAATTGGAAACTGGGCACAAAATTGTGGGAAGCTTGTCTTAGGCTTTGGTACATTTATCTTCCATAGGTCTTTCGAAATTGGGCTAAGGATTATCATTGTTAGAATTGGTGAATAAAATAAAAAATCTATTGTTTAGCTTCCCATTTGCCTTTCTCATCTCTTATCATATCTTCTGTACTTAGATATTCATATGGCGGAAAGCCACTCCTGGCTTCATCAGCTGAAGGAGACCCTGGGAAATGCAGGCTGTGTGGTGGATCAAGGCAGTATGAAATGCAGCTAATGCCTCCGGTATTATACTTTGTACAAGAAGCAGCTGATGATTGTCAGAGACCATCATTGGAGAACTGGAATTGGATGACACTTATGGTATATACTTGTTCCAAGGTAAGTCAACTCTTTGCTAGTTGGTCTGAATATTTGAGGATTTTAGTTTATTCCTCCCCATGTTCTTCAGTAGGGGGTGGGCGACCCCTTCAGTTTTATACAGAAACAATTTAATGTAAAGTCTGTCCTTTTGCAGAGCTGTTCTCAACATGATGAAGGAAAGTCCAGGAAGGGGAACTGGCTTGCGACAGAGGAAGCTGTTGTGGTGCAAGTAGAGAAATCTTTTCATGGGTTAGCCGAACGTGGCTATTTGTCATAATCGGTGCAGTTTCTTCTAGGAAAGAAGGAAAGAACAGTACATTCTATATGCCAGTGAACATTGTAGCTCTTCAAAGTTAGTATACATATAACAGGGCGTAAGAGGCTTTGTTTCCTGGTTATTGATGGTAGTTTCTCTGTAGAATTGACAGAGTACGAGTTCTGGTTGTTGTGGTAACGTTTGAAGAATTTTTAAATTGTATCACCAGTTATGCTGAAAGGAAAAATCATTGTCCATTGGAAAGGAGGTCTTGAGACTGTTGTGTTGTATATGGTTTGTTGGGGAACAGTTAACCTTTGCCGTTTGAGTGTATGATGCATCTACGGGGTTTAGATTGATTTTTATTGTCACATTTTTTGTGCTGAGAGAATACCTCCTATTACAATCTTGGTTAGTCAGCCCATACCACCGTTTCGGTTACAAATACAATTCATCTGTTGCAACTTGCAATTCGTTTGGTGGGCTGGATTATATAGCTGAATAAGTTTAAAATGAAGTAGGATTATGAATCCCCCTATCAATGAGGAGTTTAAAGTGAGGAGGCTATTTGAGGAGGCCAATTCCACCATCAACAAATGTAAAGAAATCACGAGACTTAAACATTTTAAATGTTTTGATGATTGGATTGAGCTCCTCAAATAGCATCCTCACTTTAAACTCCTTAACCAATGGGATTGAATCTTACTTTATAATCCAATCCAAAAGCACACAGATGTTCAAAACACACAACTTGGACAGAGCGGAGGCTTAAGCTAAACTGGCTGGCAAAGATAGCTTAAAATTCTTATCAGGTAAGTTCCCAGAAAACTTTTTTTGGCTTATCGCAGAGGTGATTTTGAGACATGAACAGAGCAAATTGTTCATACCAGATACAGCAGGAAATGCCCGTGACTGCAATTGTTTCTTTTACCAAACTAAATTATATATCTATGATTCTAATATTATTGACCAGAAACCAAAGAGAATACTAAAGATTGCAGATACAATAGTTGTATTCGATTAGATTATTTGTATGAAGAATTGGTTTTTTTTTCTTCCCCTTTTTCCTGATGAATTGGATTATACTAATCAATTAACCAAATACAAAAACCATATTCACATCACTCAAGCCATGGCATTGGGCTGGCTTTAAGATCAAATACAATGGAACAAATTACTAATGGGCACAATCATCATCCGTAAATACAAGTCAGAATATTCAACTACATTGATGTCTGCATTCCAAACTCTTTGCTACGTTTAAGATCTAAATATTATTACAACATAAAGCATTATTCGTAGTGATAGGGAGCAGAAGCAACAGACACTACTCAAATTTCTTGATTAGCGCCAGGTCATTCAACATTTTGTCAATTGCATCATCGTCATGAACACGTCCTTTGGCCTGCATAAGAGAGGCTCCGTC